AAAAAGAGAGCAAATGAGAGAGTGGGTGAGATGTTATCAGCAAATTTTGTTGAAAATAAGAAAAAGTTTTGGAGTGAGATTAACATGTTAAGGAAGCCTAGAGAACAAATGCATTTGTCAGTTAACCCTTTCAGGGTCCAAGGCCCAAATCTGGAGTCACGCACCAGTGTCCAAGAATTTTCAAAAAAAAAAATTGTTATTTTTTCTTATGAAATCGTAGAGAATCTTTTTGTGAAGGTAATAAAACAAAAAGTACGAAATTTGGTGGAAAATTGACGAAATTATGCTCTCGCGAATTTTGATGTGTCAGCGATATTTATGAATTGGCGATTTTGCCGACTTTGACTCCCATTTTAGGCCAATTACATTATTCCAATCAACCAAATTCTTAGCTATTTCACTAGTATTACTTCTATTCTATCGATTGAGCACAAGAAATCGCCAAGTCAACTGTTTCAACTACAAAATAAAGTGATCGGAAATTGTTAATTTGGCCAATTTAACACAAAGTTCAAAATATTCCAATTTCAAAATAGGGTCCAGAATGAACAATGTAGGCATTCCTGGCACTAAACTAACATTTCCTCTGTTCATTAGTTATGTTTTGAGGCTTTACAAATAAATTCCATTTTGATTTTTTATTCACATAATGAATTTTTATTCACACCAAAAAATAGAAGATTTACTGTTATGCAATACTGTAATAATATATAAATATCATCACCATATTTGTGAATGTATATTAGACCCACCAGCTGACGTGTATTAGATGTGTGAGGTCGTTTGTTTACTCTTGAATATCGGCAAAAATTTAACATTTCCGCTACTTTGAGCTCAGTTTCAAGCCATTTCCAGTGCTAAAACCAATCAAAATCATCTCTATTTCTGTAATATGTCTTCCATTCTATCAAATGAGACCAAGAAATCGCAAATACAACTATAAAAAACATACGAAAAAACACTGCAAAGTTGCTGTTTTAATCGAAAAATCATGATTTCATTTTTTTTCTCTCATTATACACAGTGTGCTGCAGGATCTGTTTTATGTGGTGCACACATACCACATAGATGTATTCTCTCATATCTAGGCCCAAATGTACCACTCACAGTTTATCAGAGTGAGCTGAGCTCATGGCGTAGATCTACGGTTTGGACCCTGAACGTACAGCCGTAGATCTACGGGACGGACCCTGAAAGGGTTAAAAATAGGAGAGGAGAGTTATTAACCCCTTCAGGGTCCAAGGCCCAAATCTAAAGTGGTGCCCAAGTGTCCAAGAATTTAAAAAAAAAAATTTGTTATTTTTTCTTATGAAATGGTAGAGAATCTTTTCGTGAAGGTAATAAAACAAAAAGTACGAAATTTGATGGAAAATTGACGAAATTATGCTCTCGCGAATTTTGATGTGTCAGTGATATTTACGAATCGGCGATTTTGCCGACTTCGACTCCCATTTTAGGCCAATTACATTATTCCAGTCAACCAAATTCTTAGCTATTTCACTAGTATTACTTCTATTCTATCGATGGAGCACAAGAAATCAGCAAGTCAACTGTTTCAACTACAAATTAAAGTGATCGGAAATTGTTAATTTGGCCAATTTAACACAAAGTTCAAAATATTCCAATTTCAAAATAGGGTCCAGAATAAACAATGTAGGTATTCCTGGAACTAAACTAACATTTCCTCTGTTCATTAGTTACATTTTGAGGCTTTACAAATAAATTCCATTTTGATTTTTTATTCAAATAATGAATTTTTATTCACACCAAAAAATAGAAGATTTACTGTTATGCAATACTGTAATAATTGTATAAATATCATCATCATATTTGTGAATGCATATTAGACCCACCAGCTGGCGTGTATTAGACGTGTGAGGTCGTTTGTTTACTCTTGAATATCGGCAAAAATTTAACATTTCTGCTACTTTGAGCTCAGTTTCAAGCCATTTCCAGTGCTAAAACCAATCAAAATCACCTCTATTTCTGTAATACTGTTATGGGGCTATAGGACCCAACATGTATTTATAAGTAACAGTTACTCTGGAATACCTAATTATATTGAATTGATGGGGACTTTGCTCTAAATGTCAGAAGGACTGATCAACCTTATGACTGAGAGGCAGCTGGGTCAAGCCTATTTTTCTCAATATAATAGGTTATACTATAGACACATAAACACACAATTTAAATAAGTAGTTTATAAAGTTGTATTTCTTTTTGTAAAAGTAAAATTAAGGTGTGGTAGAATTGTGGTAACTGGAGAATTGTGCTTGACAACAGTCTTTTGTTTTGGTGGGAGGAGCTTAGCTAGGCTTCTCTCTCTCTCCCTCTCTGACTCTCTCTCTCTCTGTGGCTGACCTTCAACCTGGCAGGACCTCTGGGTCCTTCTCCTATCTTTTGGGGCATCATGTGTGCTCCAGGGGTGAGTTTTTATAATTTAAGTTTTGGCCACCATACCCAGGGTGACTAAAGTGTGTCAAAACACTGGTTAGCCCAGAGTTATGTCAGGAAGAGTGAAGGACAAGAGTTGTTGCAACACACCATGTGGAGCACAGGCATGGAGTGTGTAGATTTTGTTTTGAAAATGGAGGCTGTGATTGTATATTCTGTACATATCTATTGAGAATACAGTTATATTTTTATAGTAGTAGTTTACATAACCTGTGAAGAGGGCTGGTGAAAGGGTATCAGAGACACTCAAGATGATCAGCCATGATGTAAGTATTACCCCTAGACAAATAAGGCCATTAAGTAAAAGCTACCCCACACTAGAACATGTAGTGAGAACCTTACCATCCAAGAAATAAGACATACCAACGTAACAAATATGTCTTCCATTCTATCAATTGAGACCAAGAAATCGCAAATACAACTATAAAAAACATACGAAAAAACACTGCAAAGTCGCTGTTTTAATCGAAAAATCATGATTTCAGTTTTTTTTCTCTCATTATACACAGTGTGCTGCAGGATCTGTTTTATGTGGTGCACACATACCACATAGATGTATTCTCTCATATCTAGGCCCAAATGTACCACTCACAGTTTATCAGAGTGAGCTGAGCTCATTACGTAGATCTACGGTTTGGACCCTGAACGTAAAGCCGTAGATTTACGGAACGGACCCTGAAAGGGTTAAATGGAGAGTTAGAGGTATTGGGAAGATGGAGAGAATATTTTGAGGAATTGTTAAATGTTGATGAAGATAGGGAAGCTGTGATTTCGTGTATAGGGCAAGGAGGAATAACATCTTGTAGGAGTGAGGAAGAGCCAGTTGTGAGTGTGGGGGAAGTTCGTGAGGCAGTAGGTAAAATGAAAGGGGGTAAGGCAGCCGGGATTGATGGGATAAAGATGGAAATGTTAAAAGCAGGTGGGGATATAGTTTTGGAGTGGTTGGTGCAATTATTTAATAAATGTATGGAAGAGGGTAAGGTACCTAGGGATTGGCAGAGAGCATGCATAGTTCCTTTGTATAAAGGCAAAGGGGACAAAAGAGAGTGCAAAAATTATAGGGGTATAAGTCTGTTGACTATACCTGGTAAAGTGTATGGTAGAGTTATTATTGAAAGAATTAAGAGTAAGACAGAGAATAGGATAAGAGATGAACAAGGAGGCTTTAGGAAAGGTAGGGGGTGTGTGGACCAGGTGTTTACAGTGAAACATATAAGTGAACAGTATTTAGATAAGGCTAAAGAGGTTTTTGTGGCATTTATGGATTTGGAAAAGGCATATGACAGGGTGGATAGGGGGGCAATGTGGCAGATGTTGCAGGTGTATGGTGTAGGAGGTAGGTTACTGAAAGCAGTGAAGAGTTTTTACGAGGATAGTGAGGCTCAGGTTAGAGTATGTAGGAAAGAGGGAGATTATTTCCCAGTAAAAGCTGGCCTTAGACAAGGATGTGTGATGTCACCGTAGTTGTTTAATATATTTATAGATGGGGTTGAATCATAGAACTGATGAGGGGAAAAGGGTGAGCGGTGCACTTAGGAGTCTGTGGAGACAAAGAACTTTGTCCTTGGAGGCAAAGAGGGGAATGTATGAGAGTATAGTTTTACCAACGCTCTGATATGGGTGTGAAGCATGGGTGATGAATGTTGCAGCAAGGAGAAGGCTAGAGGCAGTGGAGATGTCATGTCTGAGGGCAATGTGTGGTGTGAATATAATGAAGAGAATTCATAGTTTGGAAGTTAGGAGGAGGTGCAGGATTACCAAAACTGTTGTCCAGAGGGCTGAGGAAGGGTTGTTGAGGTGGTTCGGACATGTAGAGAGAATGGAGCGAAACAGAATGACTTCAAGAGTGTATCAGTCTGTAGTGGAAGGAAGGCGGGGTAGGGCTCAGCCTAGGAAAGGTTGGAGGGAGGGGGTAAAGGAGGTTTTGTGTGCGAGGGGCTTGGACTTCCAGCGGGCATGCGTGAGCGTGTTTGATAGGAGTGAATGGAGACAAATAGTTTTTAATACTTGACGTGGCATTGGAGTGTGAGCAAGGTAACATTTATGAAGGGATTCAGGGAAACCGGCAGGCTGGACTTGAGTCCTGGAGATGGGAAGTACAGTGCCTGCACTCTGAAGGAGGGGTGTTAATGTTGCAGTTTAAAAATGTAGTGTAAAGCACCCTTCTGGCAAGACAGTGATGGAGTGAATGATGGTGAAAGTTTTTCTTTTTTGGGCCACCCTGCCTTGGTGGGAATTGGCCAGTGTGTTAATAAAAATAAAAAATAAATCTTATTGCTGAAAATAAAATAACATCCATATTAAGTAAATATTGTAAGTTTTCTTGTAACAGATGAAATATAAATTGCTTTTATATCCAGATGAAATGAAGTCCTGTTAACCCTTTTGGGGACTAGTTCTCAGGCCTTTTGTGTATTCATAAACTCTTGCACTACAGTCCACAGGATGGATATGGGGTACACAACAAATGAGTCAGTTTCCATGGCAAAATCTAAAATCTAATCAAAGAATGCTAATTATGTCAATAAATTACCATTTTCACTCACCTGCAAGCACATGTCTAAAAGTACATCAGTGTTGTTAATTAAGCTTCTCTCATTGGCACGTAGATAATGTAGCAATGAGCCGTGTCGTAGGTATTCTGTGACAATATAAATGGGGCGGTGTCTGCTGCATACACCATACAACTGCACCAAGTTAGTGTGCCTCAGTTGCCTAGAATAAAATTATGAAGTAAGCAAAACATAGAAAATTAAAGTGGGTCTGTAAAAAGCATACATTAAACAGTCAAATTTGCAACAATTATTAAAAATTCTTATGGGCAAATTTCATTTTAAGGACAAAAAAATCAGGTTTCTGGTAACCAGTCAAAATAAAAAAAAAAAAATGATTAGGTAGGGTAAAATATAATAATGGAATACAATACCAACGAGTTGATAAGACACATGTTCAACAGTTAGGTATCTTTATTCTGAAACATTTTGCCTACAAAGTAGAAGCTTACTGTGTAGGCAGTAGAAGCCTACTGTGTAGGCAGTAGACGATTACTGTGTAGGCAGTAGATGATTACTGTGTAGGCAGTAGAAGCTTACTATGTAGGTAGTAGAAGCCTACTGTGTAGGAAGAAGAGTACTGTGTAGGCAGAAGACTACTGTGTAGGTAGAAGACTACTGTGTAGGTAGTAGAAGCCTACTGTGTAGCTAGTAGAAGCCTACTGTGTAGGCAGAAGGCTACTGTGTAGGTAGTAGAAGCCTACTGTGTAGGCAGAAGAAGACTGCTGTGTAGCCAAAATATTTCAGAATAGAAATACCTAACTGTTGCATGTGTGTTTAACTTATATTTTTTTTATTGGTATCATTCCAATCAAAGTGCAATTAAATAACCTCTATATTCATCGTCTGAATGTCAAATACACACGTACATTTTACAAGTGCTTATCACTGTCTTTCATTGTTTTGCCAGAAGTGTGCCAACATTACAGTTCAAGTAACTTTCTAAACTGTAGCATCTACACCTCTCTTTTATTGAAAAAATATTCACCTTGCACCTGACATGCTTTAACCTGAGCCATATTCACCTTATAATTATAATAATATCTTTATTTGCTACAAGTACATATACATGGTATACAGGCCTAGCTGACATCATTGACATACTACTAGTATTCAGAAAGCCCATTGTTATGCATTTCGGGCAAATTAGGTCCTTGTCCCAGGATGCGACCCACACCAGTTGACTAACTCCTAGGTAACCATTTTACTGATGGGTGAACATAGACAACTGGTGTAAAGAAACACGCCCAATGTTTCTACCCTTGCTGGGAATCGAATGCACACCCTTGCCATGTGAAGCAAGAGCTTTAGCGACCAAGCCATGGGGCACCGTGGCCTGGTCTTTACAACTTTTAACCCTTTGACTGTCGCAACCCCAAATCCTGAGGTGTCTCCTGGTGTCGCAAAATTTAAAAAAAAAAAAAATTATTATTTCTTATTGGAAAAGATAGGGGGGAACTTTTCCCCATTTAAAGGGGAACCAAAAAAAAAATAAAATTTGAGGGAAAAAATGAGGGAAATTAAGCCTGGGCAAAGTTTGGCCTTTGGAAAAGGGGGGGGGAAATTTTGGGAATTTTTAAACCCCTTTTATTTTGTAATTTTTTTCCAGCGAAAAGGCTGGGGGGCTAATTTTTTTTGGGGGCAATTTTTTTAAATTTAATAAAGAAAACCCCCATTTAATTGGAATTTCAATACCAAAATGGGGCCCAGAAAAAAGGGGAATTTTGGGGGGCCAATTAGAAAATTTAAAAAAATACTTCAAAATTAAGCCCAGAATAAAAAGGGGGGGGGGAACCCGGCCTAAAATTAAGGGGGGGAAATTTTTTCCTTTGGGTTCCAGCCAGGATCTACCCCTTTTGAATTAATAAAAATTTGTTTTTTTAATTTTTTATTACAAAAAATTTAGGAAGGGAATCTTTTAAGGCGGGCCGGGCTTTTCTGGGGGGGGGAAAAAGTTGATAAAAAATTTAATTTGCTTTTAAAATGTATTAAAGCATTTTGGAAAATTTTTTGGAAAAGGGAATTTTTTTCTTTTTTCCCTTTAATGGCCTGGGGAAAAAAAAATAAATTTTTATTTATTTTATATTTTTATTATATTAAAATAATTTTTAAAAATATTAATTTTAAAATATTTTTTTTATTTCTAATCAAAAAACCCCAAGAAAAATGAGAATACCGGGGAACTTTAAATATCAACGAAAATTGGAACCAACTTTCAGATTTTTTTAAAAAAAATTTTTTCGGTTATTTTTTTTATTTTTTAAAATTTTAAATTTTTTTTTTATATATTAAATAAAAAAATTCTTAATTTTTAAATTTTTTTTCCCCCTTTTTTTTTAATTTAAAATTTAAATTTATATTAATATATAAATTTATTTTTTTTTTCTATTATACCGGGCCCAAACCCAAAGGGGTTCCCCAAAAAAAAAATTTTCAACACTCCCTCATTGTTTTCCCGGGGTTTTTCCCCTTTCCCGTTTTTAAAACCAAAATTTAAAAACCCCCTTTCAATAAACCAACCCTTCCAAATTTTCAAGTGGCCCTCTTTTAAAAAACCCTTCAAAATTTTTCTTTTACACCCCAACACCCCCCAAATTAAAACCGCCCCACAATAAAAACAGTTCCCCTTTCTGCTAAAGTAAACCTTTTTGAACCCCAAAAAATTTTTTTTTTCATACCCCCCCTCCCCCCGGCCTTTCCCCAAAAAAAATAAAAAAAGTTTTTTTTTTTACCCAAATTTTAAGGTCCAAACCCCTAAACCCCCTTCTAGTTTGGAAAAAAAAAGGGAACCCGAAATCCTCCTAACTTAAAAACTTACAATTCCGTTTATAACCACCACCCCGGGAAAAATTATGTACCTTCCCTGGGGGGGCCTTTCATCAAAATTACAACCAATAAGGTTGGGTTAATATATATTATAATTTTTTAAAATTTTTTAAAAATTAAAAATATTTTTTTATAATCTATTTTATATTTTTAAAAAAACCCCAACCACTCTTAAAGAATAGAAATTCCAACCCTTTCGTTATTAATTTTTCACAAAATTTTTTTTATCCCAAACCTTAATTTCCTTTTTCCCCTTTAATTTTTTTTTTGCAATTCCAAAATTTAAACCCCCAATTTAACTTTCTTAGAATTAAAGATTATAAAAAAATGTAAATTAAATTTTTTATTTTTATCTTTTAATTAATTTTTGAAAAATTAATTTACTTTTTAAAATCTATAAAAAATTAAAAATTTTATAATAAAATATATTTATTTTTAAAATATATATATTATTTTTTTTTTTATTATCACACGGGCCCAATTTCCCCCAAAAGGGCAGGGTGGCCCGAAAAAAAAAAAACTTTCACCATCATTCACCCCATCACTTCTTCCCAGAACAGTGCTTTTTACCTACATTTTTTTAAAACTGCAACATTGACCCCCCTTTTCCTTTTTAAGAGTGCAGGCACTGTATTTCCCCATCTCCAGGATTCAAGCCCCGGCTCCCGGTTTCCCGGGAACCCCTTCAAAAATTTTTTACTTTTTGCTCACACTCCAACGCACGTCAAGTATTAAAAAACCTTTTGTCCCCATTCACTCCTATAAAACCCACGCTCCGCATGCCTGCGGGAAGTCCAACCCCCCTCAAACCCCAAAAACCTTTCCCCTTTAAACCCCCTCCCTCCCCCTTTCCTAGGCCGACCCCTACCCCCCCTTTCCCTTTCCCACTCAGATGATACATTTAAAAAGGCACTCTGTTTTGGGCCCCATTCTCTCTACAGGGCCCAAAAACCACCTCAAAAACCCTTCCTCCCCTCGGGGCAACAGTTTTGGAAACCCGCACCTCCCCCTAATTTTCTAAACTCGGGAAAATTCTGTTTAAATATTCACACCCCCAACATTCCCCTACATAAATTCTCCACGGCCTCCAGCCTTCTCCCCCCCACGCAACTTCTTTCCCCCCATGCTTCACCCCCATATAAAAGCGTTGGTTAAAATTTTACCCTCATACTTCCCCTCTTTGCCTCCAAGGACAAAGTTCTTTTTCCCCCACAGACCCCCTAAGTGCCCCCCTCACCCTTTTCCCCCCTCATCAATTCTTTTTTCCCCCTCATCTTTCATAGACCCATCCGCTGACACGTCCACCCCCAAATATCTAAATACTTTTCCCCTCCTCCATACTCCCCCTCCCCCCAATCTAATACCCAAATCTTTCACACCAAATCTTTTTGTTATCCCAAAACCCTTATCTTTTCCCTGTATTCACTTTTAATTTTTTTCCCTTTTGCACACCCTACCAAATTCATCCCCCAAAACCCTCAACAATTTCCCTCTTCAGAATCCCCCAAGAGCACGTGTCATAAACCAAGAGCAACTGTGACAATTTTCCCCCCTTTATGTGTGATTTTTATTTTTTAAACCCCCCGGCCCTCTTGCCAAGCCCCTTTCCCCATTTACTTCCTTACAACCCCATCTATAAATATTTTAAAACCCAACCCAGGTGACATCACACATCTTTTTAAAAAGGGCCTATTTTTTACTGGGAAAAATTTTCCCCCCTTTCCTACATACTCTAAACTTTTGACCCCACAAAATCCTCTTTAAAAACTCTTCACTGCTTTCAGTAACCTACCCATACACCTGAAACATCTCCCAACATTCCCCCCCCCTTTTCCCCCCCTGTCTTTCCCTTTTTTTCCCCCAAATCCTAAAGCCACAAAGACCTCTTTGGGCCCTTATCTAAATACTGTTCACTTATTTTTTTCCAACTGAAAAACCCCGGGTTTCCACACACCCCCTACCTTTCCAAAAGGGCCCCCCTTTGTTCATTGCTATCCTATTCTCCGTCTTTTAACTTTTAAATTTTCTTTCAATAAAAAATTTGCCATACACTTTCCCAAAAAGGTATACCAACAATTTAATCCCCCTAAAATTTTTTGGGGGGATAAGTCTGTATTTATTTTGGTATATCCATTAATATATATTTTATTTTTATATATATATATTTTTAAAATTTATATATATAATATATATATATAAAATATATTTTTATATAAAATAGTTTAAATAATAAAATTTTTCAACAAGTGGTCGTTCCCCGGGCGGGTGCCCCCAAAAAAAAAAGGAAAAAAATCCCCAAAAAAAAAAATATTTCATCATCATTCAACACTTTAAACC